AGCTGTGCTTATGGGGGAGGTGGGGGGAGGGCATCTGCTCAAGTCTTGTTCTGGAACTGGCAGGAAGGAGTCATTTACCTTTGTTCTGTTTTTGTCTTTACTCTTTGTATTTGAAAGTTAGTCTTATTATTTATTTTTCCATTCACTAACAAGTTTTGGCTACAGGTCTCCCGTTTAGAGTGTAAAATTCAGGGTTTTATGTATTCACAGGTGAATGCAGCCATCACCACAGGCAGGGTTGGAGGATTTTCTTCACCTCTGAGAGAGACCTAGCGCCCTGCCTCTCAGCACCCCCTGCACCCCATCTCTGGAGGTTTTCTTATTGCAGTGAGATGTACTTAACAAAGCTAACTGTGTTTAGGGTACTTTTGACTTAATATATAATAAATCTCTAATTTCATACTTCAGAACTGTAAAGTGAGTAGATTAAAGTTTTATATCAAAATTATGGCTTTTCTAGTATTTCTGTTTTGGGAAATCTGTAAATTAGAATACAGCTAAAAAATAGATAAAAAAATAAAAAGTGCAAATTCAGTCTTATATTTCCAAGAACAAAAGTTTATATTATGAGGTCTTTTTCTTCCACATTGGCAATTGAAAGCTAATTGGTTGTTAGAAAAACAGCTTTGATATGGGCTTTTCTTGCTTTGTGAGCTTTAAAAGGCTTTTTCTTTGACCATATAAAAATGTCTTTTTGTGTTCATAATGTATAAGGAATTGTAGTAATGTATTTTAAAGGTTCTCAGGTTTTCCTTAGAGTGAAACTACTTTTATTTCATTATAATCATACTACTTTAGGACACAATATATTTAAAATATAGTGATCATAAATTGTTACAACCTGTATAAAATTTTTCATCATTGGGTTTGTACTTTATGAAAATTTCAAGGGGACAAATTAGATATGATTTGAGTATGGTTAATACAGGAGGATGTTCTTGGTTTTTTGCGGGGGATTAGGGGTTTTTTTTTGGAAGTTATTAGGTGAATGAAATGCTGTGTCCCACGCATAGTATTTAATAGTTCAGTAAGAGTGCAATTACTTGTTAAGATCATATTCTGTGAACTAATGTGAGGCATTGATTTTCTTTTTGCAGTATGTATAGTTGAATAAAAGTAAGGTATTTGTTACTTGATATTTTTCATTTCTGTCTTTTAAATGGTACCGGTGTCATTCAAATTATCTTCACATTTGAAAAAAGAATGACGGACACTGGACATCACTTTGTTTATCCATGTCTGTTAGTACCTTTCCTTTGCTTCACGTTGCAGTGTGGCTTTTGGCCCTGCCTAGAGTCATTTGCAGTATTACAATAGTTAAACTTTACTGTTTGAGAAGAGAGTCATGCTGAGAACAGATGGCTATTGTCTGATTATCTCTAAAATAGTAGTGTGTTTCTTAATAGAGGCAACACAGTTTTTTTAATGCTAGTTTTCTCATTCTGAGTGTCTATACACAGTTTTCTCTGAATCTTAAAAATTTTACATTTATGATGATGATCTAAAAAATGCCTTTACTCTAGTTATAAAGATGAAACTTCTTTTTTGTGATGATTCACAGCTGAAAAGGTTTTTCCAAGTACCAAATGATTCTTCCTTTGTTTTTTTTTTTAAGATTTATTTATTTATTTATTTGATAGAGAGTGAGAGAAAGAGAGAGCACAAGCAGGGGGAGGGGCAGAGGGAGAAGGAGAAGCAGATTCTGGGAGTCCAATGTGGGACTTGATTCCAGGACTCTGGGATCATGACCTGAGCCGAAGGCAGACGCTTAGCCTACTGAGCCACCCAGGCACCCCTACTAAATGATTCTTAAGATAGCATTTATCAAAGTGCTCAGGCCCAGGACTCCTTGGAATCAGAGACATATTTTTAAGGATCTGTAGTTCACTCGAGTTTATGAAATTCTTTAAACCTGCCAGAACAGATATGTTTCACTTCATTTTCTACAACTGACAGTATTAGCATGAAGATAGATTTGGTGATTGTGAACATCATAGTTTTAGGTAACTGGATTATGTGTCCTGAGCTAATTGGCCCACTTATCTTTTAATTTCTGGATTGGCATTTACATAATATTAGATATTGTCCCATTAACTCTAATTTAGAAGCTTGTTTCAATTCATGTATAGTGTTGGTGTAATTCTTATGTTAAGAAATTGGTATTGAGGTTTTTTACAGAACACGTGGAAGAGGAGTCGGTGGCTCCGAGGTTACTGTGTATATAGTCCACGTGGGGGGCATCTCTGGGCGTGGGGACTGACTGGCCCTTGCCCTTCTTGCTTGTTTTTACTGCTAAGGTCAGGGCGTGCTTTTCAGGCAATGTTCCTTTACCTTTTTTTTTTTTTTTTTTTTTTACAACTATTCTGCTGTTTATCTCCTCTGCTACTGTAGGAAGGGAAGAGTCCCAATTTCCCAGTATACAGTTTTGCTGCTTATTAATGACTCATCAGTGACACACTTGAACTTGGAAGCTGTGTTTGATGAAGGAAACACACACATTTCTTTATAGCACTTTGTTGCTTTGTTTTTCTACTTTATTAATATGTAGGCAAAGAGGGCAGTGTTTATTTTTCTTAAAGAAGGTTTAAGCATTAGGCATATTTTAAATGGTTTCTCCCTTTACTATCAGTTGGCTTCTCAGAAATGCTTCTCATTAAAATGGAAACAGTAAGGCTGTTAGATACTTAGTGTGAGTTTAAGCTAGTTATTGTATTGACCTACTTTTACTTTTACTTAGATACACGTAAATTATGCACCTTCTAGTACTTGAGTGTTTTTTGTTGAAAGTTCCCAATTTTTCTAAACCTTTGGCAGCAGCTAAGAGAGCTGTCTCCATTTCTTAGTGTGGCAGTACTCTTGGGTTTGGTATCATCTGTTCTGTCGTCTTTGTTCACATTGTTTTTACTCATTTTAAAAATATGTTTCTAGAATTATACTTAATTGCTGGAAACGTTGATTTTTCTTGAGTGACAAACCAATTAAGTGTGTATGACACTAGGCAACAAAGACACACAGGATTTTCTGCTTATCCTGTCTCTGAAAAAATCCATTATTCATCATCTTATTGTTTTTAAATACTGAGGTAAAATTTTCAATACAATAGGAAAATTGCTTTGGAAATGGAATAAATTGCTTGCCAGTTCAAAGGCTCCATCTCTGAAGTGGAGGTTACTAAACATGATGTTGCTTATGTTCATTATCTTTCAGACTCTTTGTACTACTTTTCTAGCATTAAACTTGATGAGATTGTGACTTTTGCTAAAATGCCACACAATCGCTGAAAGAACTTAATGAAAAAGACTAAAAATCTCATTTTGTATACCATATTATAATATATCTAAGTGGCGTTTTGAATTTTAATTGCATTTTGTATAAATATGCATTTTCTAGTTGACTGTTTTAAAAGAAGTGATCTTATGCAGAGAATGAGAAAAAAGGAATTTTTCTGAGGAAACCTATTAACTCTCTCTTAGGCCCGCTACCTCACAGCTGAGAGGAGCTTTTGCGTGAGCCTCTGAAATGATGAGTCTCCTGTTGTGGGACTGTTGTGGTGCTGTGGATGGTGACTGGCGCGAGGGGGCCCTTGGTGCCGGTCGGAGGCGAGGACAGGTGCTGCCGCTCCTCACTGTGACCCTCGGAAGGCCCTCCCTCCGCCTTATTACTGTCAGCGACAGCGCGTGGTCGTCCGACACCTGTGACCAGATCTCATCACTGATACTAAAGTCTTCCGTGCTTTTGGGTGGACTTTTAAGCAGCACAGCACAGTAATGGTCATCTTTGTAGATCAGTCTTGTATACATTTTTCATGTTTTCAAATATTTGTTTTCATGGGATAATTAGAACCTGTGGTTAAAGTTACATTACAGAAAAAGGGCTGTCAATGCATTTTCACAAACTGTCCTCCATAAAAGTTGTTCACACTCTTGCTAGCCATTAAGAGTGCTTCGTTATCCAAGACTGTTAAGAACGCTAAGGGTGAAGAATTTTTTTCAATTGTTTTAATTTGGTGTTTTAGAAGTTCTCTTGAAAACAAAGATTACTCCTAGTGTTAAAGCCTTCCACTGAGAATTAAAGTGACACTCCTTATACCGACAGGCCAGGCCCATGGGACTCACCCCTGCCCACCTCTCCAGCCGCATCCGGTGGCCCTCCCGTGGCTTGCCCACTCCAGCTGCCCTGGCCTTCTCTCCAGTCCTGAGCCCTCAAGGCTCTGCAGCCCCTTCCAGGTCTCCCAAGACCTTCTGTGGTTGGTTCCTTTCAGGCATATGTCCCTCTTGAGAGTCGGCTTCCTTCTGGCCGACTCGGCTTCCTTCTGGCCCTCGCGCCTTCTTTGTTATAGTCTTCCCAACACTTCTCCCTTTGCAAGTAGCCAGCCCCCTTCTTGTGTTTGTCCTGTCTGTCCTGCAGCCCTTGGGACAGTGCTCACACAGGGCAGTCCCTTAGGTGTGTGTGGGAAGGGTTGGAGTTCCTAATGTGGCTGCACATAATTCTCTAAGTACAACTGTATTTCTTTTTTTATGAATTGTCTTTGCTCATCTGTCATTCAAAGTGTTTGCTTTTTTTTAAATTTTATTTGTGAGAACTGTTTCTGAGGAATGGTTTTACTGTCACGTGCTGTAAAAGTTTCTCATTTGCTCTGAACTTTTCTTCTTGGACCATGCAGAATACAGGCACCCTGGGTGCCCGGCTGTGGGAAGGGCTCCGCAGACCCCAGCCCCCTTCTCCAGGGCCTCACAGTCCCGAGGCCTTCAGGAGTGTTCTTTCTCCTTCTGGTGTTTGGTCTCACTGACAGACCAGCTCCCCAAGTGATCAGACTCTTGCCTGAATATGCCTGGCGTGTGAGGATCTGGCTTTTCCAGGAGAGCCATACCGATTCTAGTGCCTTAACTGTGGCAGCCGGCAGGAGGGTGAGGGGAAGGGGCCTGGTGGTGCGCTCAGGCAGACCCCAGGGGTAGAAACCAGCTTCGTATGTTGGAGATGCGGGTAATGATGAGGAAATATCCATCTGCCAGGGGTTACGTGGCTGCTAGGGAGCCGGATACCAGCAATATTTATAGAATTTGTTCCTTTTTAAAAAATTTATATGAGGCATAAAATTTACCATCTTAACCACGTCTACCCAAGCGTGCGGTGCAGTGGCCGTGAGCACATTCACGCTGTTGGACTGCTGTCTTCACCTCCCGCCCCCAGGCCTCCTTCCTCGTCCCAAACCCGAGCTCTGCACCCGTGAGACGCCGCGCTGTCCCCTTCCCGGCCCCCGTCGCCTCTCTGTACCTCTGTGTCTGTGCAGTTGACTGCTGTCACCTCGCGGAAGTGGAGCCCTTCAAGGTCTGTCTTGTGTCTGGCTTATTTCACTGAGCGAGATGTTTTCAAGCTTCGTGCCATAGCACGCGTCACATTCCCTACTTCTTTTAAACTGAGTGATGTCACATTGTATGGAGAGACCACATTTGGTCTTGGACATTTCAGTTATTGGACATTTCAGTTATTTTTCTTTTTTATAGTAAGAATTTTCTGTGGTAATTGTCTAAAACTAGGAATTAAATGAACGTAGGCGAAGTGTTAGATTCAGGCCTGACAGTTTCAGCAAACACTGGCTGCTGGCTTCTCCTGTCCTTCCTCCTCCTCTCAACGCTGAATTCCTACCTGGGCAGCAGGGAAGGGAGGCCAGGCTGGCTTGCACCCACGTTCGTTGTCCTTCCCTCAGCCTCGCCCTCTCTTTCTCTCCTCCCCTCCCTCCCTCAGGGGGTAGATGTCCCTTGATCTGTAGCAGGGAGGGGTAACCTGAGGATCCAGATGTTCCTTCAGTAGCTTTCAGTCAGTTCCTACTCTATCCTCCTTCCACACCCACTTCAGAGGTCGGCCTGGCACCAGACCCGCCCCTCCAGGGTCCCAAGGTTCTCCTGCTTCCTCGCTGCTGTGCTGAGACTCCTGTTTTTCTTGGATCTGCTTATTTACCATCCATCTATCTGCTTTCTAGCCTTCTGCATTTTGTTATCATCTCTTGTTTTCTGTTCTGTAGGTTTCAGCTTTAAGAAAAAGCAGTATTTTTGGTATTGAAGATAGTCATGTATTTAATCTTCCATTTTTATGGGAAACGTTTTCTAATCCTTTTTACATGTGTGTATGTCTGTCTGTGTCTTCTCTTTCAGAAGACAGCTATTCTGGGCGTCCTAGTCTGCATAGCGGTGTGGACCTCTAGTCGCTCTTCTTACAGGAGTTAATAGTTGTAGTTATCTCGAAGCAGGCTGCCTTCTGTGTCCCAGCTCCAGTTCTAGAATTCCCTTGGATAGTTGTGGCTTAGCTTGGGTGGCTGGCAGTCCTTCCTGAGCTGTGCACTGCCCCTCCTACCTCCCCTACCTTCCCATACGCAGCGGTCATTCCACACGCACCCTGCCCCTCTACCTGCATGCAGCCCCTGCAGCCTGAGCTCAGTCGGCACCCTCCAAGGGCTAGGTGACTGTCTCGCCAGTTGCCACTGCTATCATTTTAAATTTACTGATGAATGAGTCTGAGCCTGTGAGTTACAAGCTGCGTCTGTTACTGACTGCCGTGTTTTCAGTGTAGGCACACGTGTTGGTGCTCAGCAGTTGACTGAGTATATATATACCCAGCATAGCCAAATGGCTTGCAGAACATTTGTTCACCTTCCTGTAAGGATTTTGAGAGGTGATCTTCCTTGGGGTCCTCAGCCTAATGTACTCTTTGTATTCCAGTAGTTTCAGAGGTCTCGTGGTTTTCATTTTTTATATGAAGTTATATTGGGAGGAGGAGAAGTGTTAGGGTGGTTAGTGTTTGCTAAGGATCCCCTCACCATCTGCTCAGGCTTATTCTCTGCTTTACGGTCTAAGGGCAGGTGGTCCCTGTATTTGTCATGTGCTGTGTGTCGGTTCCCCTTGATGCCTAACGGGCCCTGCACCGAAGCACCAGAGGGCCCGGGAGAGCCTCAGCACGGGCTGTCGGCACACTTACATCCTCCATGAGGAGAACACCGCTGTCTTCTACTTACCACCCTCTCTTGTCCGAGGGCCGTTTCGCATGAGCGAGGAAAGGTGAGAGCTAGGAAGCGGGAAGCAGGATTGTCAAATTGACTCAGAATACAAAGAAAACAAAATCGTGTCATCAATTGCTGTGCAGTTGTATTAGTGTCCTATTGCTGTTGTAAAATTATCATAAATCTAGTGGCTTAAAACAAATGTATTATTTTCCAGTTCTGAAGGTCAGAACCGTATGGTCTCACACGGTTACAATCAGGGTGTCAACATGCTGCGTCTCCTTCTGTAGGTCCTTGCAGACAGTCCAGTTCCATGTGGCTGTAGGTTAAAGTCCTGTTTTCTTGCGCCCAAATTACTCTAATACAAAACATTTAAGAGATACTACAAGTCAGTGTGGAAGAGATGGACTCTTGCATAAATAACATCGCCATTTCTGTTGTTGTGTAGCGTATACATCCCTGCAAATCTTCGTATTTGGTAGAAGTGCTCACTGAGAGTAACAGGGTTTATGGGCAAAAGTAATTTAGGGCACACCACTGGGGACCACATCACCAACAAAAACAGTCAAGGTCCTGGTGACATTTGCTGAAGAGGCATATTGAGTTCCTGGCCAGTGAAGATTGACCTGTGAGGAGGCTGGTGCCCCGGGAGAGGGTCCTAGTTCCTGGGGTGCCCCCAGTGCACATGCCCCAAATATGCCCAGCTCCACTGAACAGCATGGGGAGCAGCCTTAGCCACAGTTTGTAAGTAGTAGTGCAGGACCCCGTGTGATAGCAAAAGTGAATCGGTGCCAGTGATGACAAGATGCTGTTTTCCTCCCTTTATTTAAGTGAAGGGTTATATGTATTTAGCTCTCGTCTGATGAGGGTGAGGTAAAATTGCTTTTGGCGTTATTCATAGCACTCATAGTGGTGGGAGTTTAAATTTGCATTTGGCAATAATATTCCAAGTGTTTTAGAGCTTATGACTTTATATAACTATTACAGTTCTGGGATTCTTTGAAAGAATTCATGTAAAAATACGGAGAAAGTTCTGTGTACAGATATTTGCACTGAAACATTATTTAGTGGGAAGTTATAAATGTCTTCTCTGTCCAATAGTGGGGGGTAACTCAGTAACCTGTGACTCAATAATCCACTTGCTGGATTATTTTTTAGTTACCACATGTTAAAAAGATGGTAAAAGGAGCTTAGGTAGCAGGTCAGCATTGGCCTTATTGTCCAAGGACATCTTTACAGTCATTGAAGTCCACTTGTGTTTGGATTCTTGACAGCTAGGCACCTGTTTCAAAAATAAAGTTTCAAGAAGGTAGAGGCTTCTGGAATCTTGCCTTCTGACCTTTTCACAGAATCCTAGTAAGCAGAGGACTGCCTGGCACCATCAAGGCATACCTGCACATGCACACGCCCACACACACATGCAGGTGTGTGAACACCCACATGCAGAGATTCCCTGAAGGACTGCTAACAAGATAACTTAAGTTTGCACATATGAAGCTTGTTTAGGTACTGTACGTTGTGTATATAGGTCATATACATTTAAAGCTTGTTATGTACTGTAGAAGACGTATTTCAGTAACATTTTATAGGGCAGAATGGAAATAATTCTGTTCTTGGATATTCCTGATTATCTGTAGTAGCACTCACCATTGTCATTCTTTTTTTTTTAAAGATTTTATTTATTTATTTGACAGAGAGACAGAGAGAGAGAGGGAACACGAGCAGGGGGAGTGGGAGAGAGGGAAGCAGGCTTCCTGCTGAGCAGGGAGCCCGACACAGGGCTCGATCCCAGGATCCTGGGATTATGACCTGAGCCGAAGGCAGACACTTAACGACTGAGCTACCCAGGCGCCCCTCATTGGTTGTATCTTTTTAATTTCTTTTAATTTGGAGAAATCTTTGTGGTGGTTTTCTTTCTTCTGATGATGTGGCGTTTTTGAAGAGTCCGGGCTGGTGGTCTGTAGCATCTGGATCAGTACCTCCTGGACCTGGCTGTAGTGCTCTTATTTTGTGTGCTTCCCATCACGTGAAAATTAGCCCCAGAGCAGTGCTTCTCAAGCAGCAGAGTGCGAGGGCTTTCGATACCAACTGTAGGCTACTTCCAGAAGTCTCTGGCGCCAAGAATTTCTGTGGACTGCACTTTGAGAACCACTGCTCTGGGATTGAGTAACTGCGGTAGCTGTGTGCGTGTGTTGGACCTGCTTCTTACTGTATCACACCAGCAGGTAGACGTCAAGTTGTCCTGTGATGACTGGTTCTGAGTGTGTGTTCTAGCTTAAGGTGCTGATCTCTAGAACTTCTGCTGTTCTCAAGTTTCCATTTGCAGTTGTGAAGAATTGGATGATTCTCCAGCGTCGTGACAGTTCTGTTCCCAAATGGTGCTTCTGTGCCCCTCCCTCCAAGTATTAGTGGATTTTCCAAATATCTTTCTGTAATTGATTTATTTATTTTTAAATTTATTTTTAAAGATTTTGAGAGACAGAGAAAGAGAGCATGAGCAGGGAGAGATTGGCAGAGGGAGAAGTAGACGCCCCGCTGAGCAGAGAGCTTGATCCCAGGACCCTGGGATCACGACCTGAGCTGTAGGCAGATGCTTAACTGGCTGAGTCAGCCAGGTGCCCCTGATTTTTTTTTTTTTTAAAGATTTATTTGTTTCAGAGAGAGAGTGCAAGCATGAGTGGGGGGAGGGGAAGAGGGAGAAGCAGACTCCCCGCTGAGCAGGGAGCCAGAAGCAGGACTCGATCCCAACACCCTAAGATCATGACCTGAGCTGAGGCAGACCCTTAAGCACCTGAGCCATCCAGGCGTCCCTTTCTGTTACTGATTTTTAAAAGAAATTCCTTTATGGTGAGAGAACATACTTTGTCTAATTTCAGTTCTTCTTGAATTTGTTAGTTTGTGTTATGGCCCAGGATGTGGTCCGTGGGGATGAGGGTTCATTGTGCACTTGATGAGAACATTCTGCTGTGTAGGGTAGAGTGCTCTGTAAATGCCAGGCAGGGTAGGTTGGCTGACAGTGTTGACCACGTCTTTCTGTCCTTTCTGATAGTCTGTTTCTTCCATCAATTACTGAGAGAGGAGTTACGAAGTCTTCCGGCAGTATTATCGATTTGTTTCTTTGTCCTTTTACTTACATATTTCATACTTTGTGTATTTTGAAACTGGTGGTAGGTGCATGCACATTTATGATTGCTAGGGCTTATGGGTGATTTGATCTTTTATCATTATATAATGTTCTTTTTTATCCTGGGCAGTTCTTCCATTTTATTTTTTTGATGTCTTCTTTGTCATATTGTAATAGCTACTTTTCTTCCTTTGAAAGAGCGTTTGTATCGTATCTTTTTCCATCTTTTTATTTTTAATCTTTTAACATTATATGCCATTATATTTCAAGTATTTTTATTTTTTTTGTAGGTAGTGATTTTTGTCCTCCAGGTGACATTTGGCGACATCTGGACACATTTTTTTTTAAAGATTTTATTTATTTATTTATTTATTTGACAGAGAGAGACACAGCGAGAGAGGGAACACAAGCTGGGAGAGTGGAAGAGGGAGAAGCAGGCTCCCGGCCGAGCAGGGAGCCCGATGCAGGGCTCGATCCCAGGACCCTGGGATCATGACCTGAGCCGAAGGCAGACGCTTAACGACTGAGCCACCCAGGCGCCCCCCCTGGACACATTTTTATTGTCACGACTCGGGGGGTACCGCTCCTGGCATCAAGTGCATAGTGGCCTGGTTTGCTGTTGAACATTCCACAATGCGCAGGACAGCTCCATCAACAGAACCCTGAGACCCAAAATGTTAATGGTACTGCTGTTGAGAAGCTCCACTCTAAGGATTGCAGTATACACAGCTAACTTTTCACTGTTCATATTTTACACTTAATGTAAGCTATGGAATTGCCTGCTTCTTACGGGATAGCTGCCATATCCATTCACATCTTTCTATACTGAAAACTTCACCAGATGATGTTACAGCTTTTGCTTTCAATAGTCATACACATTTTAAAGAATTTTGTGTTCTTTATTTCTGAAATTCCAAGTTTCCTGATGGTATCATTTTTCTTTGTCTTGAAACTTTCTTTAGCTTTCTTTTGTAGGAGGTCTGATGGTAACATATCCTCCAAGTTTTATCTTTCATCTGAGAATGTTTTTGTTTGGCCTTCATTCCTAGAGGATCTTTTTGCTGGCTATAGAATTCTGGGTTGATGGGCGCCTGGGTGGCTCAGTCCTTGGGCGTCTGCCTTCGGCTCAGGTCATGGTCCCGGCATCCTGGGATCGGGCCCCGCATCGGGCTCCCTGCTCTGTGGGGAGCCTGCTTCTCCCTCTCCCACTCCCCCTGCTTGTGTTCCCTCTCTCGCTGTGTCTCTGTCAAATGGATAGATAAAATCTTCAAAAAATATTTAAAAAAAAAAAGGAATTCTGGGTTGAGCCTTTTTCCCTTTCAGCACTTAGACATGGAGTTCCTGTCCTCTGGCCTCATCTCTCTCCATAAGAAGTCCATGGGCATTTGAGTTGATGCGCTTCTATATGTAATGAGTGTTTTCCTCTGGCTGCTTCCAAGAGTTTTTCCTTCATCTTTGCTTCGAGTAGTTTGATTACAATGTGCTTTTTGTGATTTCCTTTGACTTTATCCTGTTTGAGGTTTGCTGTTGTCTTTAAGTAGATTGTGGTATTGTCTGGCACTCATTTATGCTGTAGTTGTGGGCTTGGTTGGTTTTATTTGTCTTGTATAAAGTCTGTGGACTTCAGAGGGTGCGAGGGGAAATTTCAGTTTCAGTGACTACCATCCTGTCCCAGGGACACAGAGGTCTGCGCTCTGATTTTTACAATTGAGGTTAATACCTACCACAGAGACTTGATGTAAAATCAAATAAGATAGCATTCATGGGCTCTGCATTATACTTTCTGATGAATTCTTGGTTCTCAAGGTAAGCTTTTAGTTTTAAAATGTAAATGTGTCCGTGACTGAGGAGAGATAAAATGGGAACTTGATACAGTAGACTGCCTGTTTTTGGAATCAGAAGAGGATTATTGAACTCTAAAAGGGATGCTGGTTGTGGAGGAAATTATTTCATTGAATAGAAAGTTTAGAAAAGGGAATAACAGAGACAGAGAGTAAGTGTAAGTGGGACATAGCATCCTTGCTGCATATATCAAATCTGACAACAAACCAGGGGACCGTGTTCCCACCTTTCAACAGAAGATACTTACATAGTTCAAAAGTCACTTCCACGACTTTGATGAATATGAAGTTGGGCAAATTTTACATCCCATCAGTCTGTAGCAGAGTATTTAGATATGACCTGGAAGTATACATTTTTTGCTAATATTTCAGATGATTTTTTTTTATATTCCTGAATTGAACACCGTGAGTGGGTGGTACTGTTGAGCTGACTGTTCACACCAGTGGCTTTGTGGAGGGCTCCCCTTCTAGCATGGTCATGTCCACTTCCTTGGGCAGCCTGTTCCTTTCCTGCTGACCCTGGCTAAATACATTTTTTGTAAAGGAAAGTAGCATCCCTTATTTATAATGGTTTGCCTCCTCTGTAGACAGCTGAGTTTGAAGAAAAAAGAAAAATGTGGTTCGTAGAATGGGACCAGCTCTTGTCTTAAATAATACCCTTACTGGTGACAGAAGGCTGCTTGGCCTGCCTCAGCACTCTGTTTTTACCTCTGACCAGGTACCAGCTGGAAGATGAGTCTGCCCATTTGGATGAAATGCCATTAATGATGTCTGAAGAAGGCTTCGAGAATGACGAAAGTGATTACCATACGTTACCACGAGCTAGGATCACACAGAGAAAAAGAGGACTAGAGTGGTTTGTCTGTGGAGGATGGAAGTTCCTCTGCACCAGGTTTGTGATCTCTTGCTGCCTAATTTCCTATGTTCTCAGGTATACAGTTGAGGTATTTAGAAGCTCAGCTTCTAACATACTTATTTTTATATCAAACTAAAGAAGACACTCTCAGTGAAATGACATAATGGAAAGTGTTAAACATTAGTCAAAACCAAACATTGCTAATCAGAAAGGGATGGAATGCCAAGTTCACTTTCTTTTTTTAAGATTTTATTTATTTGTCCGAGGGAGACAGAGACACACACACACACACACAGCAGAGAGAGAGCACAAGCAGGGGGAGCAGCAGAGGGAGAAGCAGACTCCCCGCTGAGCAAGGAGCCTGATGTTGGGCTTGATCCCAGGACGCTGGGATCATGACCTGAGCTGAAGGCAGACGCTTAATCGACGGAGCCACCCAGGCGTCCTCAAGTTCACTTTTTTTATGAGACATTTAAATGTTTAGAAAATGGAGAAAGATTAGTGGTTTTGTATTGACTGCATGGTAGAGTCAGTTCTGGTCACTGTGTCAGCATTTGTAAACCGTGCTCTCTTCCATCTGTGGTCCTGCTCTCATCCAGAAAGGCAGGTAGGGACCCGTAAAATGCAGTTTAATAACACCGTAGCTCTGTGTATTATTCGACTCAAATGCTTTGACTTGGAGGAAGATTCTTCAGTAAATTTAACTAGAAAGAAACAGAGATAAGAACTGCTCATATTTAAACAAGTTCACTGGTGTTTGAGATAAACTTCATCAGCTGTGCTCACCCTTGACTTAAGAGTCTGGTCTGTGAAACCACACTCTGTGTCTAGGACATTTGACCATTGACTGTCCTCCAGCCCTAGGGACAGGTAGGGCAAGATTTCAGCTGACTGATGCCAGCATAACTTGGGTGGGGTATGTCGAATAAATTACTGTTTTTATAGTCTTTCTGCTCTTTAAAGTTTGTGGTCAGTGCCTTTCTTACCATCTTGAACTTATATCCCTTTGACCATAAAAGAGATATAAGTAATTGTAGAAAGATATCTTATTTATCATCCTCATTATCTCTTTAGAAGTTTGCAAAAAGATGTTTTTACAACCGATTTGATTTTTGGGTCGGGTCACGTAGTTGTATTCAAACAGTGGTCTGTGGACTCCCAGGGACTCTGAGGAATCCCTCAAAGAGATTGACCACGCAGAATGGGGAAGTGAGCCTGAGCAGGATTTAGGCTTATCACCCCCTCTCAGCTTCCAATTAGTGTCTGTCTTTATCTTTCCTGTATATTGTAAGCTTTTCATATGAAGAAGGAATTTCATGGCTAAACAGGGTTTTAGAAATCACTGACTTGTGTTACTAATTTTTAATGAGTGATACAGTTTTTTCAAAAAACATTTTCTAGGTTAAATAGCCAATATTCCTGGAGTATTCTTTGGGGGTACTTAACTAAGTCTAGACTTAATTTCTTTAACAGTTGCAGGGCTATGCAGAATTGTTTTGTTTTGTTTTTCTTGTGTCCCTTGTGATGCTTTGTGCTTTTCAAGGGGTTTATCTACTTTCAAATATATAAATTCCTGTAATATAAAATGTATGAGGTTCAGGAGCGATGTCACATTTTATTATTCCTGATATTGTTAATTTATCTCTCCCTTTCTCCTATTAATCTTGATAGGAGGTTATCAGTTCTTTTCAAAGAGCCAAACTTCTGGTGTTGTCTTTGCTTTTGAAATTTTAAACTTTTATCATGAAATAAATCCAAACTTGAAATAAATTCACTTTTATCTTGAAATAAATCCAAACTTATAGAAAAGTTGCGAGAATTCCTCTATGCCCTTTGCCTAAGATCACTAATGTTTAATCTTTTGCCACATTTATTTACCATTCTCTTTATATCTGTTATTTTCAGAGTGATTTCAGACGAGGTTGCTTGTTACTTCATTCCTCTTTGATCTTAGTAGTTCAGTGCATGTTTCTTAGGAAGAGGCTATTTTCGTACGTGGCCACCAGGCAGTTGCCATATTCAGGAGATTTCGCTCTGACACAGCTCGGTCTTCTGTCCCGATCCTGCCTGCAGAGCGCCCTTCCTCTCTAGGCTGGCCTGGTGTTTAGGTGGCCATCTCCATGTGCCATCTCCAGGAATCTGGAGCCGCTCTTGCCCTTTCTTTGTCTTGCATTCCATTGATATTTATGAGAACTACACAACAAGTATTTTATAGAACATTTAAGATTTGGGTTTGTCTGAGGTCTCCTCGCCATTAGATTCAGGTTAAACATTCTCTGTGGGACACTGTATGAGTGACACTGTGTCCCTCTTAGGATGTCTGCTTCCTGTGTCATTGAAGTCTGGTCTGCCCTTAATTTTTTTCATACTGAGTTTAACTTGCCTTTCTTTTTCTGACTTCATCAGATGGATTCTCAGATCACCAGCATTGTCCTTTTTTCTTTTTTAAAAATAGATGCATTTCAGTTTTGACACATGGTATTTTCATTATTATTTAGTTCAAAATATGTTCTCATTTACCTTGTCATTTCTGCTTTAGTTGATGTTCAATTTAGAACCATGCTGATTAATTTCCAAACAGTCGGGAATTTTCCTAATTATCTTTTTGTAATTGATTGTTATCTTTTTTTTAAAGATTTTATTTATTTGTTTGAGAGCGAGAAAGTGAGAGCAAGTGAGAGAGAGCACAAGCAGTGGGAGAGGGGCAGAGGGAGAGGGAGAAGCAGACTCCCTGCTGAGCTGGGAGACTGGAGACACAGGGGCTGGATCCCAGGACCCTGAGATCATGACCTGAGTTGAAGTCAGACGCTTCATGGACGGAGCCACCCAGGTGCCACGTGATCGACTGTTACCTTAATTCCACTGTGGCCCGAGAACATACTTAGGATTTTTTTCTTTCAGTCTTGTAGTGTGTTGAGACTTATTTTATGATTCATCGTATATGGGCAGTGTTAGGCAATTTTCTGTGTGTATTTGAAAAGCGTTTGTACTTTTTTGTTGACTGTGTTGCTTTTTTTTAAAAAAAAAAAGATTTTATCCATTTATTTGACTAATTTGTTAATAGTCTTGTTTGAATCTTCTGTATTCATATTCAGACTTTACTTATCAGTTACTGAGAAACTTGTGTGTCTCAACATCATTGAGGATGTGTCTACTGCTTTAAATTAGTGTTGCTTTATATATTTTAGAGTATGTTATTAGATGATGCGAGTGTAGGGTTACTAACTTACTGTTGGATTGATCTTTATCTCTGATAATATTTCTTCTATGCATGCTCATAATTTCCAACTTAAATAAAATACCAGCTTTCTTTATTTTTATTTTTATTTCTTTATTTTAATTCCAGTTAGTTGACATACGGCGTTATATTAGCTTCAGGTGTACAATATAGTGATTCAGCATTTCCATACATCACCCTGTGCTTAACACAAGTGCCCTCCTTCATCCCCTCCACCTATTTCCCCCCTCCCCTCGCCGCCTCCCTCTGGTGACCATCAGTCTGTTCTCTGTTATTAAGACTTGTTTCTTGATTTGTCTCTCTCTTTTGCTCTCTCTCTTCTCTCTACCAGCTTTCTTTGGTTAGTATTTGCATGGTATATAATTTTCATCCTTTTACTTTTTTTTTTTTTAAGATTTTATTTATTTATTTGAGAGAGAGAATGAGAGACCGAGAGCATGAGAGGGAGGAGGGTCAGAGGGAGAAGCAGACCCCACGCCGAGCAGGGAGCCCGATGTGGGACTCGATCCTGGGACTCTAGGATCATGACCTGAGCCGAAGGCAGTCGCTTAACTGAGCCACCCAGGCGCCCCCTTTTACTTTGTTTTATTAAAAAAAAAACTTTTCTGGGGTGCCTAGGTGGCTCAGTTGGTTAAGCATCTGCCTTCAGCTCAGGTCATGATCCCAGGGTTCTGGGATCAAGTCCCCCATCGGGCTCCCTGCTCAGCGGGGAGCCTGCTTCTCCCTCTACCCCTGCCCCTCTCCCCTGCTCATGCTCTCTCTCTCACTCTCTCTCTCTCTCTCTCAATAAATAAATAAATAAATAAAATCTTAAAAAAAATGCTTTTCTTTTGAAATAATTATAGCTTCACAGGAAATTGCAAAGTTAGTATAGAGGGGTCCCACTTACCCTTCACCCAGTTCCCCCCAGTGGTTGCATCTTTTTTTTTTTTTTAAGATTTTATCCATTTATTTGAAAGAGAAAGAGTGAGCCTGAGGTGGGGAGGGGCAGAGGGAGAGGGAGAAGCAGGCTCCCTGCTGAGCAGGGAGCCCCACACGGGACTGGATCGGGGGACTGGATCGGGGGACTGGATCGCAGGACCCTGAGCCAAAGGCAGCCGCTTAACTGACTGAGCCCCCCCAGTGGTTGCATCAAACCAGAAAGTTGATGCTGGTATAAACTGTATATAGTTTACTACATTTTATTGCATGTGTAGGTCTGTGTAACCACCACTGCAGTAAAGATAGAAAACTGTCCCATTACTGCAGGTGTCTCCTATCTGCTGCCTTCTATAGTCATGTTCTCTCTCCTACCCCAGGCCCTAGCCTCTGGCAACCACTAATCCATCTCTATTTCTATAATTTTAATTTTGAGAATGTCAAATAAGTGAAACCATTCAATTTGTGATTTTTGGAGATTGGCCTATTTCAGTCAACACAGTGCCCTTGATAACCATTCAAGTAGTTGTGTGTATCAATAGTTTTTCCTTTTCATTGCTGACTAGCATTCCAGGGGATGGCTGAATGTTTGTTTAACCATTCACCTACTATAGGACATTTAGATTGTTTCAAGTTTTTGGCTGCTGTGAATCATCATGTACAGGTTTTTTTTGTGTGTGGACATAAGTTTTCCTTTCTTTGGGCTAAATGCTCAGGAGTGCAGTTGCTGGGTTGCATAATAAGCATATGTTTAGTTTTTTATGAAAGTGCTGAACTGTTTCCCGGAGTGGTTGTACCATTTCACATTCCCACCAGCAGTGAAGGAGAGATTCAGTATCTCCTTGTCAACCTTGTTGTCACTGTTTTTTATTTTAGCTGC